ACTGATATTAGTTGCCGCGTACCATCAGAAATATTTTTAGCACTGCATTATGTTACGAATTATTTGAACTTGGATATGTAGTCTATCATATCGAACTTCTTAGTATAAAATTGATGTATTCGTCTTAAGACTTGAATGTTTATAAGTCTATTAGTATACAAGTAGTCAACACCTACCTGGTTAGGGTCCGCGAGATGATAGTAGTTGATAGTTAGCGATGTTGAATGGCATAGCTGAAAATCGTTTGCAATGGCGTCGGTGCATTCATTCTTTGTATCCTCTCAAAAATCCTAGTCTTCTGAATACCTTGTCACCTTTATCTTTTTAAGTTTATTTCACTAGATTTTACTTCTTAAATAATATTGTCGAATCCTCATCTCTTCGATCACTGCTAATACTCTTACTACCTCTACTACTATGGGATTTGAGGTGACAATTGCGTCTCTATGCTAATGTGGTATGACAACCTGAACTAATTTACGTACTTACTGAGTTCTACGTTTTAAATGACTGACTATTAGTGTATACGTTAGGGTGTTTCATTTATCTAAGGATGCCTAATTGCCCGTACTCGTCCAATCGATATCGACCCATGACAAAAACCGTCTATGAACTAAATTTTCGCTCAAATATCCATACCTGTTTTAACTGTTGTTGGGGATGTTAAATCCCCGAAATTCGCTTGATAAATGCCTTATTTTGGTTCTCACGTTTGCCAGCATGGGCTGATCAATCGACCATGAGATTTCAATTACCACCAGGAAAACCCGTGGCTGTGATTGGCTGCTGTGTATTTCAGTGTGCTATTTTCTTAACTGTCCCAAGGACGTTTCTATGATGTATAAATAAACGAGAGTTGTGTGCTTGATTGTACTGTGTTGTGATTGCTGGGTGTTTGTAGAATATACCTTATACGCCTACTAAGTCTTCTGTTTACAGCCTGGGATTCAAGGTAGCCTACCTGGACGCTGGTTCATTGTCTTGTTCGCGTTTATCGACTAAGGTAAACTCGTAATAGCCTCAAGCATACTTAGTGACGAATCCAATAACTGTATATTTGAATCCTTTGCTAACAAATCAAGTATATTGATTCTTAAATGAAAATTGAGCATTTTCAAATATTTAAGTAATATATTACTCTCAGTTTATTTATTTTCGATAATTATGATATTTTTATTTGACCAAAAATTATAACCAAACATTTTATGTTGAGTATTATCGGATTAAGGAATCGAATGCTTCAAAACTTGACATTTTCAGAATCCATCAAATGTGATTTGATTATTAATTGTAAGTGTGTTACTTTTGACCATATATATAATCTAAAAGTTATTCTCGGAGTTCTAGTTGAGAAGACGTGACTAATGGAGTTCAACCCTGTCGGGTGTAGGCAGTAACTACCAAAGACAAATGGGTGAGATCGCTCAAAATCCCTAGAGCAATCAGAGTTAGACATTAACATCGTTGGGTGCCGTCCCAGTGGTCCAATGGTTAGGCGTTCGTGCACTATACCGAATAGTCTCAGGCTCGAATCCTGCGAGATGCAGGAGTCGTGGATGCGCACTGCTGATGAGTCCCATACCAGGACGAAACGGCCGTCCAGTGCTTCCAGTTTTCTAATGGTGGTCTAACAATGATTGATTGATTATTTCAAATGTAAAATCCTTAATGTTGTAACTTTATTTCACGTTCAATAGTTATCAAAAAACAGTTTAATGTCAATAAATTTCTAAATCCATATATATTATTCAACAGTCTTTTGTAAATAATTTATTTTTGATGTTTATTCAGTTAAATCAACACTTCAATATGAACAAAAAATACAGAATAATGCACAAAATATTATCAAAGATTCAGAAACTATTGTTAGTTCAGTTAATGTCACTGAGTGTATAGAATTGAAAAATGCTTATTTGAACTTCAATAATGTAACAATGAATTCAAGTTCAGAAGAGGCACAATTACCACCATTGAATAGAATTACTGTTATCTCACAAGATGATTTACATCAATTATGTGCTCTATTGGAATTTCGTGGTTATTTTCTTGTCACTTATACAAATAATGATACAAAAGAGGTAAGATTTGATGGGTTTTTTATTTTTTTTAAAAAAAGGCTGAATGGAATTCATTTTTAAGTGTCATTTTCATGGTTTCTGTGATTTTGTACTTTTGTCGTTGGGTGCGTAAGATTCTACGGCGGGCTCATCATTTGTAGTGTATCGATTTACTGCTGCGTGTTCTTAAGCTCGGTAATTAGCTCGTCTAGACAATCATTACTAACTAGCATCAGAAGGTGAACTCGTAGTGTTGATTACGTTTATTTGGGACACACCACAAAGCGAAGCGGAGAAGCAGTGAAGAAAACGAATTAAGAGACGTGAATTGAAGAAGGCTGTTGAGCCAACTCCAAGAGATAGAGCATGACTAAGAATATATAGTCAGACAAATATAAGACAGACATGTGACCAACGAGATAGGCATGCACACACATGAATAAAAGCGACGAATAGTTGACAAGGTCAAATGACAAGTGGAACACGTCATGTGAGCTCATCATACAAACCAGACAGTAATAAGAACGAATGGTACATATAAATTGTTGCTACGCTTGGTTAAATAAATTAATCTAAAGGGCTTAACCAAGTTGTGGGAGAGAACAAACCAGATTCCAGTGGAGGAGGATATCAGGAAGAAGCGGTGGAAGTGGATAGGACACACACTACGAAAAGCACCTAACTGCACCACGAGACAAGCCCTTACATGGAACCCTCAAGGCAAAAGGAAAAGAGGAAGGCCAAGGAACACATTACTCCGAGAAATAGAGAAAGATATGAGAGGAAAGCCCAGGACAGAGTTGGTTGTAGGAAACTGGTGGGCGGCCTTTGCTCCATTAGATGACATTTCTACTGTGATATTGCAGATGACTATTTATCCTGTCTATCACTTGTTGTATTTGAGAAATACTGAATCTGACAGTGCCTAGTGGTGAAAACATTAAGACGCTAGAGATATTAATGATGAGTTAGTTCCTGTAAATAAATGAAATAGATGCATGCAGACTAGAGTTTTCATATGATTTATTTACAGTCAGATAAATAGTGAGATTTGTATGATTTCCTCGGTAGTAGTGTAGGGAACGAGAACACAGGTGAGGGCAACCGAATTGTATTTAACGAAAATTACAGAGTTACTCAGTAAAATAGGAAAACCATATCGTAAATTGTGTGAGTTTGCAAAATATCAGTTCATCATGTCGAACTGGACTGTTCCTGTTGCAAAACATCAATCCATTGTCACTCACTATTCATGCGTTTCATACAAATTCCATTGTGTTCTTCTAACTCTTCCTTTCTTGATCTTCCCCCCATGTTCTGCTGTCAGACATTACGTTGACACTCATGTCATATACTACTTATAAGTGGCTCACACCACAGTAGTAGTATTTAACATTCGTTAAAATCAATAACTGCGTCAACATTATTTCAAATGCAGCATCTACTATCACTAACAGATATTAATTGACTAACTAGCTGACTGATGATTGTTAGCAATTATTCCTTAAAAATATGATCACATGTTATGGAAGAATTGTCAAAAAAACCAAAAATCGATTCCATATGTCATTGCCTCTTCAATCCAATCGATAGAGTCATTGGTCGTCGTTATATTTCAACTATATATGATGAAGTAAATATTTCATAGAGAAATATTTTTCCCGCCTTTTTAACAGGTACGATTACTTCATGCATGGTGTGTCGTATATAGAGTGAGTGATTTTTTGTGAAACTGAACGAAACAGAAAGGTTGTATAGCAGCACATCAGTCATTGATTATTGAATGTTTAGTGATTGTTCTGTTGTTCAATTGTCTAACTTACTTACTTACTTACTTACCTACGCCTGTTACCCTCAGTAGAGCATAAGCCGCCCACCAGTTTTCTCCAACCAACTCTGTCCTGGGCTTCCCTTTCCTATTCTGTCCAATTTTTATTCATTCCTCTCATGTCTTTCTCTGTTTCTCGGCGTAATGTGTTCCTTGGCCTTCCTCTTTTCCTTTTGCCTTGAGGGTTCCATGTAAGGGCTTGTATCCGACTGTTTACCGTAGACATTAAAATGACTGGTATTCATATTCATCCCTTTTTTGTAATGTGTGACCGTTTGCCGCTGAAAATAACAAACAAACAAACAAATTATTAGTTTGATGCATTTAAACAAAAATACTTTTTCGAAGAAAAAGAAAGTCTCTCTCTTGTTTAACATGCTAAAGCAACAAGGTATTTATCAAGCTTGACTAGGATATGCAATACTATTTATATGCAACTTGATCGATACTGATCACGAATTAGGTTGTAATAAAATGATGTGAAGGAATTTGTTATATACCGACTAGTTTTCTCTTACACCTGCACGTAAACAATGTCAATATGATATACTTGAACCATTACGAGTTTACCTAGTCGGAAAAACGAGAGCGAGGATCCGGCGACACGACATACTACTCAAATCCAATTATCCCAACCCCCATATTGGGTGAAAATAAGAAGACTTGAATGTGAAGTAGAACCTGTATTCTACAAGCATTCAGAAAGTACGAGGTCCGAATCCAGAAGGGAATCAGGATCCCCAACTAGGGGTCCGGGACCGCGTCCTGCTCGTGGTCATGAAACGTTACAGATAATGCGTATTTATACATTTTGGTCGAATAGGAAACAGCATCGAAGTGCGTGACATTGACAGTTAAGACGACCAATAGGAAGTAACATTTGAAGTGACACTGGTAGTCAGCATGACCAATAAGAGACAACATTGAAATAGTTGACTTTGACAGTTAAAACGACCATAAATCTTGACCAATAAAAATCGAGCAATAGGATTTAACCAATAATAATTCTCTTAGGATATTAGATGAATAGAGGTGATGTGCCATATCTTTATCCCCAATTTGGCCAAATGTACCTTAGACAAGTGTTTGTATCGACTTATTGATTGCGATTTATTTCTCATACTCTTGGACTGCTCACTTGTTTTTTTAATTTTATTTTCTAAACCCCTTTTTTGGTCTAAATTCATTTCTCCTTGCTCCCATTTTTCTAAAAAATAAAATGTACACGCCTTTAGTAGTATACAAGTAACTGGACGGTTTTTATTATGCAATTTTAGACTTTTGATGGGTGTTATTCCGGAGTCTAATTTTTGGAGTCATTGACTTAGTCCCGATATATAAAGCACCAGTACAACAGTACACTTGTCATCATTTTATCGATTTGTATTTCTCATTGATTCATGCAATCTATGCCACTGTTATTAGTAACTCTTTAGAACTAAAAACTGCCTTGATTGGTTGAATAATTTCATATACGAATAAAAAAAATATAAATTGTAAATTAGAGAGTGATGCTTGATTAAAGTGTAATTGAAAACAATGTGAATTGATCAAGTTAGACATTAGCACCGTTAGATACCGGCTTAGTGGTCCGATGGTTAGGCGTTTGTGCACAATATCGAAGGTCCTGGGTTCGAATCGTGCGGGGTGCAGGAGTCGTGGATGCGCACTGCTGAGGAGTCCCATACCAGGACGAAACGGGTGTCTTTCAATGCTTCCAGGTTTCTAATGGTGTAATCTAACATTGATCAACTCATGGCTTCAAAAAATATGAAGACAATGTATTTCGGGATTATTGCGCTGTTGTTGTTCTGACATACAAAATGAGAATTTTTAAAAATCTTGTATATAGGATTAGAGTATGTCTATGAAGAAAATACTCTAAAGTGACAATGAGTTGAAACTATTCAAATTGTTTTAAATCTGAACAAACTACAGGTTATAGTTATTTATTACTTTGAACCAGTATAAAATATTAAATGTCACTTACGTTTCTAACAATCTCAGCGATTGAAATCAAAGTAGATCAAGACATTTTTTCTCTGAAATCTTGTCTGAGTTTTTCTAAAAAAACTAGATCAAAATTATAAAAGTTGAATAATTTCAAATCTAATTATGTAATAACTGTCTATTCAAATGATAACTTTAAATGTAGGAAAATCATATGACTAGACTATAAATAATTATATAGCTGATCGAAAGTTTCTAACAAAAACAATGCATGTTGTCACATTTTATCAACCAATCGGTGATGAGCTGCACACAGAGTGTAATTTCTATCTATTTTCTCAAATCAGTCAGTCACTGAACTTCACTTAGACAGAAATATTACAGCAAAAATCAAATACTAGTTGTTACGCTTATATAAGAAGTGAAAAGTTTCATACTGTATTTTATGTGTTTTCGAGTGAAATGTGAAGAATACTTGTGGAGATGGACACTATCTAATTCTGTGAAGTTGTAGTAAATGGAGGTAGTTGATTGGTTATTGATGTAGAATCCTTTAAATATCTGGGCAGTATCATTAATGAGGAAGGTGGATCTAATGTAGATGTGAAGGAGCAGATCGTCAAGTTGAGTGCGGCATTTCTACAAAACAACTATCAATCAAAACCAAAGACAGAGTTTTCAAAACAAATGTCAAGACAGTATGGGACTGTATGGGACAAAAACTTGGAGAACTACCAAAGCCATCGTCCAGAAGATACAAGATACCAGATTCCAGTGGAGGAGGAAATCAGAAAGAAACAATGTAAATGCGTAGGACACACTGCGAAAAGCAACCAACTATGTCACAAGACTAACCTTTACTTGGAACCCTGAAGGCTAAAGGAAATGAGGAGAGCCAAAAAAACACATTACGCCGAGAATGGAAAGCAGATTGTTGGGGATGTTAGATCCCCAGAACTCGCTTGATAAATGCCTTAATTTTGGATTTCACGTTTGAGAGCATCGGCTGATCAGTTGACCCTAGAGATTTAATTTCTCACCAGGAAAATCCTTGGCTGTGATTCGCTGTTGTGTATTTTAGTGTGTTATTTTTGTGACTGTCCCAATTACGTTTCTATGTTGTATAAATAAACGAGAGTTATGTGCTTGATTGTATTGTGTGCTTGCTTGGTGTTGTAGAATATACTTTCTACACTTATCAAGACTTCTGTTTTGCAGTTTGGGATTCAAGGTAGCCTACCTCGACGCTGGTTCATTGTCTCGTTCGCGTTTTATCGGCTAAGATGAACTCGTAACAGCTTCAAGCGTATCTAGTGACGAACTTAACACAGATGTCAGAAGAGTAACCAGCAATCGGATAGATCTGGGCAGGAGATCCCCGGGCAGCGTAGGTTGGAGATTGCTGGTCGCGGCTCATACTCGATTGGGGTTAATAGCCATAAGTAAATAAGTAAGAATGATCATTGATTTTGACCGATCTATTGATATTAAATAACGTGAATTTTAGCCTGGAGGTAGGTTCAAAAGCAGAAAATTTCATTCATTGATAGCAACAGGCTTTGATCTGATTACAAAGAGGTAATAATATTTATCCAACCGATATGCCAAATTTATTTCAAATTTAGCCTTGAACAATGAATATGGAATAATTAAAACAAAATAGATCGTGTGTTTTATTTGAAACAAAAAACCATTTTTAATTGATCTCGTTTTTTACAATCACATTTACACACATAATTAATTATTATGAACTGACCAACAAACAATAGAACTAACACTGATAAATAAATGTGGCGGCTTACAACATTCAGGGTTTCATGTAACAAAATATCAGGTTGTTTCATAGTCACAATGTACTTTTGCTTGCTTACTTTTTTTTAAAAATTTGTACTTGTATGTAATTAAAACAAATTTTTTGTGCCAACATTAAAATTTGATCAAGTTAGACATTAACACTGTTAGATACCGGCTCAGTGGTTTAACGGTTAGGGCGTTCACGCACAATACCGAAGGTCCTGGGTTCGAGTCCTACGGGGTGCAGGAGTCGTGGATGCGCACTGCTGAGGAGTCCCATACCAGGACGAAACGGCCGTCTTTCAGTGCTTCCAGGTTTCTAGTGGTGGTCTAACATTGATCGATTCATGGTTTCAAAAATATGTAACTTACCAATCTTCACAACCTCTGTAATTAAAATTATTGTTGCTTATTTTCTCTCTCTTGCATTTAAAACCTATTCTAGACAGTTTGTTATCGAATTCCAATTGATTTAAAAGAGAAATACTCTTCTTCCAATGATGAGATTGTTGATATTTTAGAAAAATCTTTTACCAACAACCACCACAATAACAACAGTAATGTTAATTTCTTGAATGGTCATAACAAATCAAAACCGCCATCGATGGAACCAGATAATGTGATCATATTAACAACCAATTCGACATGTTGTAACAATTTTCTACGATGTTTTTCACTTTCATTGAATTCCAATGACGGTAATGAATATAATCTGATGACAAATTGGACAATTGATTTCTTCTGGAATCGTACACCGGAAATGTATGAATTCGGTGAAGAAGGTTGGAGTAGTGTTGGTACACCGGTTGGTGCATTGTCTGGTGTTTATGATTTGATTGATGTGAAATTAAAGTATCATTTTGATAAGAAATTTGGATTTAACTTTATCACTAGTGAAGATGGTATGTTCAGCATAATAAATAGATTACTTCATTTTATTAAAACTATAAAGATGTTTTTCTCGGGCAGAGTTTTGGAGGTTTTCTGTTTTTACACATTTGAAATCATCAACCAAGCATTGTTTTGTTTTACTTAGATTCACCTACAGAAAAATTGTCAGTAAATAAATTTATTTGATATGTAGGTGGTTGTAGGTAATTGGAAGAGAGTTCTAACCTTCGATTTCTTTCCATGTGGATCTTATCAGCAAGTTATATCAATGTTTTCTTGCTCCTTTTAGTGAGTCAATGTGATTGATTGATATTAAGTGATTAGCAGTAGGTATTTTGATTCTTCCTAAATACATTTGATTTCGTCAAAAAAAAATCACCATTTTCTTTAAATCTGATCTAGTTAGTCATTCAGTCAGTCAGTCGCAACGTGGAACTTCGTACGTATGTACATAAGTTTAGGTTGCCATACCACATTAACACAGAAACGCAAATGTCAAATCAAATCCCATAGTGATAAAGATAGTAGAGGTATTAATGGTAGGGAAGAAGACTAGGATTCGAAGATATTATTCAAGAAGTATAATTCAGTAAGATAAGATTAGAAAGACAAAGGTGTAGAGGTGCTGACGATTCCAGAAGATTAGGATTTGAGGGAGCACAGTGAATGGATGCACTTGTGCCATTGCAAACGATTTTTGAGCCATGTCATTTTCAATCTGATCTGATCTATCAAATTCTGTAATACTGAGATTAACGATCATAATTATTATATCATTGTGAACATATATCATCATGCTTAATATTGTGAACATTAAAAGTAAGATGGTAGTTTTTTTTGCTATAAAACAATGCATAACTGGTAGAAATGTCACAATATCATTTTGGATTTGTTAGTTCGGTACAAACTGTTTCATTCTTAGTAGACATCAGTGAATATTTGTGAATCCAGAAGATTAGGATTCTTTATCTTCTCTCAAATCCTAATCTTCTGGATTTTTCAACACCTCTAGTTTTGACTTTCTAAACTTTTCTCATTTAATCATACTTCTTGAATAATATCTTCTCATCCTAACCTCTCCGATTACTTCTAATACCTTTACTACCTCTTCTACTATTTGATTTGAATTGACAATTATATCTGTGTGTGTTAATGTGGTATGTCAACATGAACTGATGTACTTATGTACAAAGTTCTACGTTGCATCTGACTGACTGACTGAATGATTGTGATTACAGCACCAGTAGCAGTAGCAACAGTGAATATTGACTGATTATTGGTTAAAATTAAATTGTGGAAATTAAAACAACACATATAAGCGAACAATATTGTTATTTTCGATTAGATCGTCATCAGGCTTTGCTCCCTAATATAAATGAATATTTATGATGAAAACTGTTAAACTCAATCAAGACAATTTGAGTCAATAATCACAATGCAATGAAGTAGAGATTATGTCATTACACACATAATAGGTGGAAAAGTACAAGTGAATAGTAGGAAGACAGAGGTGTACTGACGGTAGTAATAAAATTATAAAATAAGATAACTAAAGTTTTATAAATAGTAGGTCGAAGGTGGATGAATAGACTTCAAATAATCATTAAAAAACATCAAAACCATTACGTAATACGCAAATGTGTAAAAATAAAAAAAGAAGCAATGTCAATCGTTAGTTACGTCATATCCGGCTGCGGAAGAGATAGGGGTGTTACGAATTTCTTCTGAACACATAAATTACGGTTGAATGTACGAATTCCTATGGCTTCTGCTATGTGTAGGAGATGGGATTGAACTCCGTTGGGAAATGATGGAGGTATACGATAGATCACCTGAAAAGATCTAGGCTTATCTAAATTGTGACCACTATCAACCAGGTGTGCTAAGATCAAGATGCGTATTATTTTTGACTGACCCTTCTAAAACCATGCTGGGAGATGTCCACTTATTCGTTGTGTAAGTTGCCTGGAAGTACGCCCGATACAGCTATCTCCACAGGAGCAGTTGAATTTGTAAATGCACATAGAAGAGGATAACTTAGGTAACTTATCCTTCGTTTGGGTAGACATCGCTGGTTGACTTGAGAAGGTCAACGCAAGTTTGGCTGCATTGAATGTTCTACTAATTACTCTCATTAATCTGTCCTGCAGAGTATCGCAGGCCACATCTCCGTTGAATTGTAATTTAATAAATAATGGCTTCCTTCGGACGGTCGAAATTACTGACTTCTTTTTTACATCAACCATATACTACCTTATGAATGCGCTGGGGTAGCCGATCTCGGCTACATTTTCATATAAATATTCATGTATATTAGAGAGAAAGGCCTGATGACGATCTAATCGAAAATAACAATATTGTTCGCTTATATGTGTTGTTCTAAAATTAAATTTACATTTTTTGTATAAAATACAAAACTGCTAACTTTTATTTGGTGGTGAATATTCTCTACTCATGAAAATTCCCATAAAATATGAATCAGTAAGTTAAATTGTAGTGCCTCCATATATATTCATTCCAGTTCGCTTACATCTAATTTGGTTAAGCCTTTTCGATTAATTTATTTAACAAAGCCATTTGTATTGCAACAACTCATATGTACCATTGGTATTTTTTATTATCTGGTTTGTATTGAGCTCACATGACGTGTCGCACTTGTCATTTGATCTTGTCAATCATTCGTCGCTTTTATTCATGTGTGCCTATTTCTCTTGTCACATGTCTGTCTTATATTTGTCTGACTATATATTCTTAGTCACGGTCTATCTCTAGGAGTTGGCTCATTAGCCTTCTCCAATTCGCTTCGCCTATTCATTCGCTCCCTTCCCCCTTTTGTTCGCAGTATAATCCTAGGAGTTGGCTCATTAGCCTTCTCCACATTGTTTCTCCGGTTCGCTTTGTGGTGTGTCCCGAATAAACTTATTCCTCACTAAGAGTTCACCTTCTGATTTATAAACCGTCAGATTCTAGTTAGTAACGATTGTCTAGACGAGCTAATTACCGAGCTTAAGAACACGCAGCAGTAAATCGACACACTACAAAATAATAAGCACAAAAACTAATCATATCGTCTAATCATATTGATTTCACATAGTTTAAACTGAACAGAAATTAAAACATTTACATATATACATTTTCAATGAACAATAGATTGTTTGAAAGTTTGTGAGTTGAATGGGGTACTGATATGTGTGGTTCAATGTCTGTGCCAAATTTTTGAAACCATGAATCGATCAACGTTAGACTACCATTAGAAACCTGGATGCACTGAAATACGGCCGTTTCGTCCGGCTAAGGAGTCCCATACCAGGACGAAACGGCCATTTTTCAGTGCTTTCAAGTTTCTAATGGTGCTCTAACACTGATCGATTCATGGTTTCAAAAAATTTGTAACTTAACAATCTTCACAACCCCGTAATGCAAATTACCTGTGCTCACTAGTGACTAGCTTCGTGAGGAATCTTCTCCGAGTTCTAGCGGGAAGACGTGACCAGTGAGGTTCAACCTGTTCGGGTGTAGACAGTAACTACCAAAGACTGTGTATGAGGTTGTGCAACTCCATGAATTGATCAAATTAGACATTAACACCGTTAGATACCGGCTCAGTGGTCCGATGGTTAGGCGTTCACGCACAATACCAAATATCCCGGGTTCGAATCCTGCGAGATGCAGGAGTCGTGAATGCGCACCGCTGATGAGTCCCCTACCAGGACGAAACGAGCGTCTTTCAGTGCTTCCAGGTTTCTAATGGTGTAATCTAACATTGATCGATTGATGGTTTCAAAAATGTGTAACTTAACAATCTTCACAACCCCGTAATGCTGCTAACTGATTATTGAAATTTTATGCAAATGAATTCATTATTTCATTAATTAAATGCATTTCAGAAAGTTTCTGCGTTCACATTCTCATTGAATTATTTATTTTCTAGGTGATATACCATGTGATCTCAGCTGTATGTATTGTATAAGTTGAAACAGTATTATTTTCATACGCACATAGATGAATGAAATTAGTCGACGAATGCTAAATAAACATAAATTAACAAGTGATTACTATTTTATGCATGAAATACATATATATATATATATATATATATATGGGTACATACAGTTTAATAAAATTATTTTTCTGATAAGTTGTTGCTCATGGTGCTAATGAACACTCACTTACTTACTTACGCCTGTTACCCCCACTGGAGCATAGGTCGACCACCAGTTTCGGCCAACCAACTCTGTCCTGGGCAGAGTTAAAATGGTTTGAATTAGTTTTTCTGGTTAGCGTTTTTTTGGCAAGTTAGTTTTTGACGGAATGGGGTCGCCAACCCCATGTCCAACCCTCCTCCTTCATGGATGGTGTGTCGTATATAGAATGAGTGATTTTTTCTGTAACTGAAAGAAATAGAAAAAATAAGACTATTTAAAGAATCAAAGTTTTTATAGGCAGCACATTGATTATTGAATGTTTAGTGATTGTTCTGTTGTTCAATTGTCTAACTTACTTACTTACTTACTTACTTACTTACGCCTGTTACCTCCAATGGAGCATAGGCCGCCCACCAGTTTTCTCCAACCAACTCTGTCCTCGGCTTCCCTTTCCAGTTCTGTTCAATGTTTGTTCATTCCTCTCATATCTTTCTCTATTTCTTGGCGTAATGTGTTCCTTGGCCTTCCTCTTTTCTTGTTGCCTTGAGGGTTCCATGTGAGGGCTTGTCTCGTGACGCAGTTAGGTGCTTTTCATAGTGTGTGTCCTATCCACTTCCACCGCTTCTTCCTCATTTCCTTCTCCATTGGAATCTAGTTTGTTCTTTCTCACATTAGGTGGCTGCTGATCGTGTCTGGTCAACGAATACGAAGTATTTTGCGTAGACAACTGTTAATAAACACTTGTATCTTGTGGATGATGCCTTTCATAGTTCTCCAAGTTTCCGCTCCTGCTAATGGCCACATTTATACTTTAAATCGATCCACAAAATTAATTGTATTCTTAGGGAAACTAAAGGAACCACTTG